TTCTCACAAAAATTTTATATTACATAGTATGCCTTATTTTAATCGTGATGCTTCTGAGATGAATCAACAAACAAGCAAATAAAATTCTTCAAAGCTTTAACAAGCCTCTTGTTAAAAGGGATTAAGGCCACATATGGCTACTCATCTCACAGCAGCAACTGTGAGTGACATACAAAGATTAAAGTGTTTAACTGGTTGTGAACATCGACTATAAATACAAAATAATTGCAGGGGACTGAGATTTTCTTAGAACCCCTGAGATTTTACCTCTTTCTCTTTATGGATTGCTGAAACTCTACCAGCCGGGAGTCAACATCAATTTAATAATTCAATGCTTGGTACAGCTGTAGAATTTCTCTGTTTACATTATGATTTACTAATTTTGTGGCTGGATCTCTGGATCCTCCGCACATCCAGAGATTAAATGATTGGGGCAGTTTCCAAAAGCTGTCAATTTCTCTGCAAATAGATAAAAATAAATAGGTGCCTCATTTTACTGGATTAACCCATTTTCCGGGTTCACGGAACACAATAAATCATATACTGATTAAATGAACTGGGCTGGCATAACATTATTGGACAATTAGCCAAATAATCATTAAAACTAATGAAGTTTTTACCTTGGGGGAAGGCAGCTGCTAGATCTTTCAATATGTTAAATAAATAAGAGATGATTAGGGGGCTGGAGGCTAAAACATACAAAGAACAGTTGCAGGAATTGGGTATGTCTAGTCTAGTGAAAAAAAGGACTAGGGGTGATATGATAGCAGTGTTCCAATATTTGAGGGGCTGCCTCAAAGAAGATGGGATGAACCTCTTCTCCAAAGCACCTGAAGGCAGGACAAGAAGCATTGGATGGAAACTAAGCAAGGAGAGAAGCAACCTAGAACTAAGGAGAAACTTCTTGGCAAAACAATTAAGCACTGGAACAGATCAGCTCTAGAAGTTGTGGCTGCTCCATCACAGGAGGTTTTCAAAAAGAGATCGGACAACCATTTGTCTGAAATGGTATAGGATCTTTTGCTTGCGCAGGGGGTTGGACTAGAAGACCTCCAAGATCCCTTCCAACTGTGTCATTCGGATAAATACCTATATAACTTGTGATATGAACTGAATCTGTTTGTCACAAAAGACGAGAAGTTCTCTATTTGAACAATGAAAATTGAAAATGTTATCCTTTATTCTATTCGCTTCCTAAGATTTTGGAAATAGCCAAGATACTTCTTAAGCTGATTTCTCACAGTTGTAATTTATTTATTTATTTATTGGTTCGATTTATATGCTGCCCTTCTCCGGAGACTCAGGGCGGCTTACAATGCGTTAAGCAATAGCCTTCATACTTTTGTATATACCTGCTTAGTAGGGCTTTCGCCCCCCCCCCCAAGCGGTCTTCTTTTTTATACAGTCAGCTTATTGCCCCCACAATCCGGGTCCTCATTTTACCTACCTCGAAAGGATGGAAGACTGAGTCAACCTTGAGCCTAGTGAGATTTGAACTTGCAGTAATTGCAGGCAGCTGGTGCTACTTAACAACACTTTAGTCTACTGTGCCACCAAGGCTCTTAGCAAGGCTAATAGACAGAAACTTCCTTTTTCCAACAAAATTTAATTCAGAGATGTCAGGGAGAGACAAAAATATCAAGGTGGCAGTTATGGCCGTGTATTTTATACCCGTCCCAAAAGGAGACAGGCTTTTTAATTGTACTGTCACAGCCAATTAATAATAATGGAATAATGGATGGAAACTGAGCAAGGAGAGAGTCAACCTGGAAATAAGGAGAAATTTTCTGACAGTTGAGAACAATCAACCCGTGGAACAGAAGTTGCCTTCGGAAGTTGTGGGAGCTTCATCACCGGAAGCTTTCAAGAAGAGACTGTCTGCCATTTGTCAGAAATGGTGTAGGGGCTCCTGCTTGGACGGAGGTTGGAATAGATGACCTACAAGGTCCCTTCCAACTCGGTTAATTTGTTACACTACCTTGGCCTTTTTCATTCTACAAATGAAAGATATCAAGCTCTGGCTCAGTGGCTAAGACGCTGAGCTTGTCGATCGAAAGGTCGGCAGTTCAGTGGTTTGAATCCCTAGTGCCGCGTAATGGGGTGAGCTCCCGTTGCTTGTCCCAGCTTCTGCCAACCTAGCAGTTCGAAAGCACGTAAAAAATGCAAGTAGAAAAATAGGGACCACTTTTGGTGGGAAGGTAACAGAGTTCCGTGCGCCTTTGGCGTTGAGTCATGCCGGCCACATGACCACGGAGACGTCTTCGGATAGCGCTGCCTCTTCGGCTTTGAAACGGAGATGAGTACCGCCCCCTAGAGTCAGGAACGACTAGCACATATGTGCAAGGGGAACCTTTACCTTTATCTTACCACACTCTATGGGTCTCCAATGCTTTTACACAGCCAAACAGGACCCCCAAATACCTTTTTTGCTTTGAACAAAGACCACTAGTTGTTTTTCATTGAAAAGAGGGTTGCAAAACACCAAAAGGAATGATTCCGGAATGGGTCCCATAATTCCAGGCTGGATGCCGATGGAGCACTTCGGATTGCAATGACACGAATCTGACTTTGTATTTTGACCTGATTCTCAAGTTTGATAAAGTGCTCAGGAAGCATTGCGCCCCAGAAAAAGCCCACTCCGTGCGGGCAGAATTCCAGCTTTGAAATACAAAGGACAGGCAGAAGAAAAGAGTTGGCTTTAAAAAAAAAAAAGAAAAACAGATTGCAAACCATTTTTTTAAAATAAAAGAAATGGGGGGTGGGGGACGAGAGAGAAAAACCTTACAGTCCGATCTTCTCACTAGGCTGCAGGGATGTAATCAGCGGTGGGATTCAAATAATTTAATAACCGGTTCTCTGCCCTAATGCCTGGCTAGGTGGGCGTGGGCGTGGCCATGGTGGGTGTGACAGGTAGCACTCCTGCACCCCCCTGGGAGCAAAAACAGACCGTGGGGGGGCCCTGCCCCCCCGTGCCCCGTTTTGGGCCTAGTAGGCCTTCCTGCACCCCCTGGGAGCAAAAATAGACTGTGGGGGTGCCCTGACCCCCCCCATGCCCCATTTTGGGCCTAGTAGGCCTCCCTGCAGCCTCCTGGAAGAAAAAAAGGGCCGCGGAGGGCACACCGCACCCCCACGCCCCATTTTGGGCCTAGGAGGCCTCCCTTCACTTTCCTGGGAGCCAAAAGTGGGGACTCCTGGAAGGGGCGGGGTGGGGAGGGGCGGAGCCAGCCAGCTAATTAGCTACCGGTTTGCCCGAACCAGACCGAGCTGGCTGAATCCCACCACTGGATGTAATATCCAGCGATAAACAGCGTTCGGAATGGTAGAGGGTCTGCTGCTTGAGCAGGGGGTTGGACTAGAAGACCTCCAAGGTCCCTTCCAACTCTGTTATTCTATCTTCTACTCTTTAGTCTCAAAATATCGAGGCTTCATATGCAGGTAAACCCTTGACTTACAACCATCTGTTTGGCAAGCATTCAAAGTTACAACAGCATTGGGAAAAAGTGACTTACAACCAGTTCTCATGTCAGGTTTTCAGGCTGTCTTCAGATAAATTGCATCGCAAACAAAGTCTTTTATAAAACAACATTAAGCACAGCACTTTTTACACTGACTCGTTGCAACCAGCACTGACGTGCTGCCCCAAAACCCCTCCTCTTCCTTCTCCCACTCCTCTGCATTCATTGGCCCTCTTCCCAATCATTCACCCCTAATCTACTGCTCCAATTCAAAGAATTTCCCCCCTCCCATCCATCTCCTAGGGGACATTATCTCCAGAGGAAATAAGTAGGTGAAAGGCAACCGTCCCGTTGCAGATGCCTGCGTTCTCCCTCTTATGTCAGCACTAGGATAAATGTATCTTGACGTGCTGACATCTCACACTTATGACGATTCAAGTATCCCCACAATCATGTGATCAAAATTTGGCCGCTTGGCAACTGGCACGTTTTCACGATGGTTGCAGGATCCCAGGGTCACCTGATCAACATTTGAGACCTTTCCAGCTGGCTTCTGAGAAGCAAAGAAGCTGAATTTGCTTGATCCGCTTAACAGCTGAAGTGATTTGCTTAACAACAGGGCTGAAACAGGCCATAAAACAAGATACAGACAGTCCTCAACTTACGACCACAATTGAAATTTCTGTGGCTAAGTGAGAAATCTGTTAAGTGAGTTTGCTCCATTTTACGACTTTTCTCGCCTCGTTGGTTAAGTGAATCACTGCAGTTCTTCAATTAGACACACCGTCGTTAAGTGAATCTGGCTTCCCCATTGACTTCGCTTGTCGGAAGGTCATAAAAGGGGAATCACATGACCCCGGGGACACTGCGACTGCCATAAATATGAGTCAGTTGCCAAGCATGTCTGAATTTTGATCATGTGATCAAGGGGATGCTGCAATAGTCGTAAGTTACTTTTTCAGTGCCGGTGTAACTTTGAACGGTCACTAAAGGAACTGTTGTAAGTTGAGGACTACCTGTATTATAAATAAAAATATAGTAAAGACAAAGAAAAGAAATATATAAAGGAATGGCTTCTCCCTTTATTGCAACAAGTATAAACAATTTTCCTTATTTAACTTATCACCTTCTCTTTAAATACAGTAAAGGATCTCTTTTATCCATATCTCATCTGTTATCTATAAATAAATCATCAGAACCTCAGTAAAAGTAAAAGTTCACTAGCAGTTACCATAAATAGATAACAATCAGAGATAGATAACGACATATCTATTTCAACCTTGGTCAAACAAGCCAACTTTATATTCCTTCCCTTTACTTCTAACAATCTTCATTTTCAATCCCTTTAAATTATTGTCCTAGAACTTGAGTTCTTCTCCTTTTTAATACAGCCCTTCTCACAACATTCGAAACAAGCTTCTTTTGCAAATCCAACATAGGAAAATTGCCAGCCTCGCCTCTCGATAAGGGACGATACCAGAATCAAAATCCTGGGGTACAACTACCATACTCATTACACTTCCCGCATGGCTTGGTTATACCTACCTGCGGACAACTAGCTTTAGTGTTTTCCAAGATCCTTTCACTAAGGAGATAGCTTTCTGCCTGGAGCTGCTTAGAGAGACTTCATTGATGAGGATCACTTCATCTCCGGGTTGCAGCCGGGAATTCAATAAATCTGCTTTCCCTCCTTTTTCAATCTACAGATGGAGAGAAAAAAGACAAATTAGAGAGATGCTTTCCCCATGCCTCTTGCTACCTACAGTACATCTTCTCACCTCGAAGAAAATAAGGACCTAGCTTACTACTGTATTTGCAGATGCATTCTCATGTTTCCATCGGAAATCTATAGGTTGCTCTAAATGCAGGCAGTCCTCAAATTATGACCACAATTTAGCCCAACATTTCTGTTGCTAAGAGAAACCGTTGTGAATTTTGTCCCATTTCGCGAACTTCCTTGACCCGCTTGTGAAGTGAATCACTGCAGTTGTTAAATTAGGGACACGGTTACTAAGTGAGTCTGGCTTCCCCATTGACTTTGCTCATAGGAAGGTCGCAAAAGGGGATCACCTGACCCCGAGACACTCCAACCGTCATAAATATGAGCCAGTTATCAAGCGTCCGAATTTTGATAATGTGACCATGGGGAATGAAACAAACAAAATGTTAAAAAACGATGATGTTTATGTAGTTAACTTACCAAGCGCATCTAAATTATATGAAAACAACCAAAATATCTTTACAATTTCTGACAGGTTCTGGAGAACCGTTAGCGGAAATTTTGAGCAGTTCAGAGAACCGTTAGTGGAAATTTTGAGAAGTTCGGACAACCGGCAAATGCTACCTCTGGGCTGGCCCCAGAGTGTGGTGGGAATGGAGATTTTCCAATATCCTTCCCCCAGGAGTGGGGAGGGAATGGGGATTTTGCAGTATCCTTCCCCTGGAGTGGGGAGGGAATGGGGATTTTGCAATATCCTTCCCCCAGGAATGGGGATTTTGCAGTATCCGTCCCCTGGAGTGGGGTGGGAATGGAGATTTTGCAGTAACCTTCCCCTGCCATGCCCACCAAGCCACACCACGTCCACCAAGCCACACCACGTCCACCAAGCCATGCCCACAGTATAAAAAAATTTGGATTTCACCACTGCTATCACATCGATGCATGCACAGAAGGCGTGTGTGCGCCCACATTTTCGGTTCTGGGAGAATGGGTTGTTACAGTATGTGACGCCCACCTCTGGTCGTAAGTGTGAAAAATTATCATAAGTCCCTTCTTTCAGTGCTGTTGTAAGTTCAAATGGTCACTAAGTGAACGGTTATAAATTGAGGAGTAGCTGTGCTGGTTTTTTGTTTTTTTTTCCCAGCTGTGTCTCACTTATAGGCACCAGAGTTCTTGTAAATATCCAGAAAGGCAGTATTACAACTTCCTTAGGCTAATTCCTTTTTTAAAAAAATAAATGCCAAATTGTTCTTATTGTGAAGGAGCAATCAATTAAAAATAATTGGAGAAAAATAGTGGAAAATTGTATTGAAAGTGCTCTGGTCTTTTTTCTCCCTTGTAATGAATGGCTGTGGATGTAGCAGTAACAGTAACAGAGTTGGAAGGGACCTTTGGAGGTCATCTAGTCCAACCCCCTGCTCACACAGGAGACCTGTACTAGGGATTCGAACCGCCGAACTGCCGACCTTTCTGATCGACAAGCTCAGTGTCTTAGCCACTTGAGCCACCTAGTCAGGCTCAGAACATCAGGATGTTTTCTTCTAGTGTTTTGGATGTTAACATGTTCTGGCTACCAAAACTTGCTGTTTAGGTATGATGGAGAACCAATGCTAACGTAAGTTAGCAGTGGCTAGGTGGCTCACTGACGCTGAGCTTGTCGATCAGAAAGGTCGGCAGTTCGGCGGTTCGAATCCCTAGTAGAGGTCTCCTGCGTGAGCAGGGGGTTGGACTAAATGACCTCCAAGGTCCCTTCCAACTCTGTTACTGTTATTAAATTTCAGTTGTCAGATTTTGGCCTTTACAACTTAGAGTTGGGCCTGAACCAGTGGTGAAATCCAAATTTTTTTACTACCGGTTCTGTGGGCATGACTTGGTGGGCATGGCAGGGGAAGGATACTGCAAAATCTCCATTCCCATCCCACTCCAGGAGAAGGATATTGCAAAATCTCCATTCCCACCCCACTCCTAGGGGAAGGGTACTGCAAAAGCACTCCATGGCTTAGGGCCGGGGTATTTGCGAGACCGCCTTCTGCCGCCAATAGCCTCCCACCGACCGGTTCGCTCGCACAGAGAGGGCCTCCTCAGGGTGCCGTCGGCCAGACGGTGCCGTCTGGCGACCCCCAGGGGGAGAGCCTTCTCTGTGGCAGCACCTGCCCTCTGGAACGACCTACCCCCTGAGATACGCACGATATCAGACCTCCGGACTTTTCGTTGGGCCATGAAAACACACTTATTCCATCTAGCCGAGCTGGCTTGATCCCATCCTCTCAGTTTTAATTGAATTCGGTTTTAATTGGGTTGTTTTAAATTTTGGGCCGAAATTATTTAATTGTTTTTTAAACTGTTTTTAAATTTTTATCTCGGCTGTACACCGCCCTGAGTCCCGCAGGAGAAGGGCAGTATAGAAATAAAATAAAATAAAAATAAAATAAATAAATAAAATCCCCACCCCTCCTCACTCCTGGGGAAAGAATATTGCCAAATCTCCATTCCCACCCCACTCTGGGTCCAGCCAGAGGTGGCATTTGCCGGTTCTCCGAACTGCGCAAAATTTCCGCTCCCGGTTCTCCAGAACCTGCTGGATTTCACCCCTGGCCTGAACTGCTTTGCATAATTCTAGTTATTTACATAAGCCCCCCCCCTCATTTCAATGGTTCATTATTCAAATGAAGAAGTTGAAGAAATGAAATTCCTCCAGGAAAAAAAAAGAGGAACCGTGAGTTCAAGAAAGTCCATGTGTTTAAATAAAGGAGGTGGATAACTCAATGCATCATATCCCATTGACGCGGATGAATTAGCTATTATTAGCTATTATTATCTATAAGGAGGGCAGGGAATGAAAGCCCTATTATTTCAAAGAGAATTTCTAAAGAGTTTTACAGGGTTAATTAGAACCGAGCCCATGTTGGTCTATTCATCCAGCATTCTGTGTTTTTTTTTTTTTAAATAAATAAATAAATGCATGTGTTGTTGTAAAGGCACCTGGATGAAATATTTGCATTTCAGGTGTGGTAGGAATCCAGTAAACGAGAGCAGAAACCAGAATCCTGTATGAAACGCATTGTCATCGGCCAATAAAATGACGGGAAGACAAATATTATACGTGAGCGTCTGTTTCTAAAGATAGGGGAGCGGAGTAGTAGTAAAATCGACAAGTAAGGAGCTTTCATGGCAACTGTTGAACGTATGCGCTAAAAATAAGCCCTCTCCGAAAATATTTAAACGCATGCACCGCCCGTCCCCGCCATTTCCTCTGGTTAGGGTTAGGGAGACAGAGCTGGAAATCAGGTAAAATGGCAAGAGGAGCCCCGTCTTCCTTCACACGCCCCAAAATAATAAGACCTCCCCGAAAATATTTAAATGCAGAGCTGGAAATCAGGTAAGACGGCAAGAGGAGCCCCGTTTTCCTCCGCGCACCCCAAAATAATAAGACCTCCCCAAAAATAAGGCCAAGCACTTATTTCAGGGTTCAAAAAAAATATAAGACGGGGTCTTATTTTTGGGGAAACACAGTTCAACAGTTCGCTTAGTGACCGTTCGAAGTTGCAACAGGACTGAAAAAGGTGACCCATGACCGATTTTCACACTCATAACCGCATCCCCATGGTCAGAGATGATTTACATTTGGCAGCTGGACAACTGGTTCACATTTATGACGGTTGCAGTGTCTCCTGGGGGGTCATGTGATCCGCTTCTGCGACCTTCTGATAAGCAAAGTCAATGGGGAAGCCAGATTCACTTAACAACCACGGGACTAACTTAACAATTGTTGTGATTCACTTAAGAACGGTGTCAAGAAAAGCCGTAAAATGGGGCAAGACTTGCTTAACACATTTATCACTTCACAACGTAAATTTTGGGCTCAATTGTGGTCGGAAGTTAAGGACTACCTCAGAGGTGGATGGCACATGAATTAACAACCGGTTCACCCAGCACCAAAAATTCAAGATGGCGTTTTCTTGAGATCAAAGCTCCACCTGGTTTTTTAGTTTGTGTCACACATGCGACACACGTAAAAAACTGTGTTCTGACCCAGCTCTCCAAACACGACAAACCCTCTGAAATTAACTCAAAGATTCCTTTATTAGGAGCGCCGACAGCCCCGGCAAAATGTTTCTCTCTCAATGCAGGCTAACAAGTCTGTCCGGCAGAGAGATGAATAGTTGTCTGTCACATCCATTCATCTCCGTCCCCTGCCTTTTATCCCCAGAGTTAGGGTGGGGCTTCGCTAGCAGCAGTGGCTCTTCCGTCCCAAGGACCGGCCCATAGATTTCCACTGCTCTCCTCTCCTCTGCCTTCTGCGGATCCACACATCAGGCACAGGACCCAGCTGTTCCTCCTCTTCCTCATCAGCCACCTCCAGACCTGGGGGCTGTTGACTCTCCATCTGAGGGCTGACGGAAGGCCCAGGCTCCGCCTCTCTCTCTCTCTCTGCCATTCCCTCTTCCCCCTCAGAGCTCCCAGGTTGCCTTGATGCTGATCCTGACTCCCATGCCTCCTCCTCCTCCTCCTCTGATTCGGCTGCTGGAGGGGCCGGCGGCCGATAGGCCACAACAATCCGGTAGGGCTTCCATCACACCATTGTGGCCACCCCCTTGTCTCTATTGGCCTTAACCCTACCTGTTTTTACAAGCATCCTATGGACATGTGAGTTGTGGGCTGTGCATAACAATTGAGAAGGATGAGGGTAAAGGTTTGTTCTCTGAGCTTATGGGTTGGTGTCCGAACGTTTCATTACCATGTTAGATAACATCTTCAGCGGAGTTTAGGGGATGTAAGTGTCGGTCAGGGGTGGGTTCTAAATTTTTTACTACCGGTTCTGTGGGTGTGGCTTATTTTGTGGGTGTGGCTTGGAGGTCATGTGACTAGGTGGGCGTGGCTAGCTGGTCAGAGTCATTTCTGGAAGCTCCTCGCACTTACGACCAGTCCTCGCACTTACGACCCGACTCATTTGTTTGCTTTTAACACTGATCAGCTGTA